GTGCCCCCCCCCTCATTACCCCCCATTACCCCCCTCTATATAAGACAGTTACGGTGAGAGATACAACAGATGAAAAATATATGCGGAACTTCGACGCTTCGAGTGAAGGGAAGTTAGTTATAATTAGTTGTGAAATTTGTTAGTCGGTAAGTTAGTTAATAGCCTCCTCCGCATATATTTTTAGTTGTATCTCTTTTCAGGCAATTGTTTTGTTATCGTCGCGACGTACACAAACCATTCGAGATTATATGATGAAACTTGAGATAATGATGAAGTTGAGGTTTGAATTGAATTGTACGAAGTAAGAGGTTGCTTGTTGATCACGTAAACCAATAATTAATGTAGATTGAATGAAGGATCGTACGACATGTGACTCCGTTATTGCTATATAGGATACTGGATATTATTTCGTAACATTCCAAAAAACTTTTCAGTCTGGTGTTCAGTACACCGTTCATCACTGACACCGTATATGCGATAAATGAGTTGTGTGGTATGGGAGTTGTACGAATGCGGAAAGCTATAGGGTCATTAAAATGTGGGAGTTGTCGCGTGTGATATTGACTCACCTAAATCACATCCTAAGTTGAAAGACAACAACAAAAGGTCTCGCGTTTTCTATTTATTGAAAAGGGAATATTTGATCATAACCGGATATAACGTCCTTGCCAGGTATTCTTCAATCTCCCCGAGCCATCAGTGGATTCTTTGGATTCCAATAGATTCTTTGCCCCTTTATATTTGGGAAGCAGCATTTGCTTGCAGGCCTTTCTCAGCCCATGAGATGCCTACGGGCGAGACAAACACTCTGATCACAGTATAGGGAGACAACCAGTAGGGCCACTTAGGGGAGAGAAAAGTGGCAATTATTTAAGCTAGGTTCCAGTTGTCTTACACGGCCAAAATCATTATTCTGTAGTACAATTTTATAGTGGACTGCTGCCATTTACTGGCTGCCAATATGTAAATTAGGTTGGCAGCCAGTAAACAATGTAGACACTTTTTTATGCTCAGTGGCCCTACTGTACTTTTCCTACACTGTGCTCTGATTATGTTATTTCAGCTTACGATGTCGTATTGATTTCCCAGAAAGCCCTGGGTATGAGGTTGGTTACTCGATTTGATTAAGGCCGAATTTTGCACCCACCCCTCGAAACCGAAAGTTGATCCCTTGATAATTCTTCATATCACTTAACATTTTTTTTATTTAAAATATGTAAAATACGTCCCGATCTTTGCGTGAAAATCCTTCAATATAAGAGTCATAAGAGAGCACAGTTCAGCAATGTCACGATGTCAATCGTGCAATATTAACTTGTTTTTCATGTTCCATCAATACTATTGGCCAGCCACTATGGCTAGTAATGCTGGCGTATAATTCTGGCGTATTACGCGCGAGCTGACACCCGAAAAATATAAGTGCGGACGAGAGAGAGCATGTTTACGTGAACTTGTTATGCTCTAACGAGATGCCTGCGGAGGCCATTTAAAGACTTGTAGCGCCGTTGTAGCAAATGTATTGTTATTAGCTATTGTGACTGGGCAACCTAACTTACTGTCCAATCAGAGCAGCATATTGGTAGAGTGCAGGCGTCATAATAAATTCCTTTCATTTCGTCATTTCGCATCCGGCTCGACTAGCAAACAGTGAAAGAAGGAAGTAACTCAGGTTGCCTTCAACTATTGTGTTCCCCGAGTGTATGCTTTTCAAGATTTTTATCACGAGCGAGAATTATGGGCACAAATGACACGTACCCACTTCATACTGGATACCTCACGAAATCACCACCAGAAACCAGAGTGACTGGAAATTTCAAACGCGTAAGTAGAAGCACTCGTATTGCAAAATTACAATATGATTTATATTTAGGTTTTCTGTGATTTGTATATTATCGAGACCAATTGCCTTTTATCATTAAATTAAGGAAATGTCAAAGGATCTGTCTTTCATATTAAAGAACACTGTTTATTAATACAGCGATATTTTATACATGATGTGATAGAACTAGATGAGTTTTATGGTTTTGTATGCATACACAATATAAATGTTTTTCATCAAATGTCAAGTTTCCTCGGGCCTTGTGTGCAACAAGACTGACACAAAATATAGACTTGGTGGTGCATAAAGGTGCATCATTTCATATATATATGTGTGTACCAGTTCAAATGACGGGGATATAATTCGTTGTTTTGTTTATATGGTTCAACACGACATTGTCAGCGTATTTCCATATTATTTTTTCAACACACAATAATTGGGTATGCTTGGCAGTCATTCAGCGCTTCCTTGCATTGTCTTGCGAAAATGAACTTTTGTTTATCACTTTATGATATATTTCTACTACGTGGTTATGGTTAATAAATATATAATAAGTTGTTTACAATACTTGACTGTCCTTTAATATCTATTTGTATCAGCCATGGTATAACTAAGTATAATTGGTACTTTAATTAATAAATTGGGCTACTTATATAATATCAAATAAAGGTGGTTGATTTAAAATTACTTACCCTGGATCCAGATTCTGTTGCCAGCGTATCGATAATTTTATAAAATAAAATAGAAAACAAACTCCAATTAGAAGTTCCATCAGTTGAAACTTAATATTTAAAAAGAGCAAGAGGACACTATATTCAACAGTGATATTTTGAATTTGTTGCAAGTTCAAGAATTCGAAATATCACCTTTAAATATTAAGTTTTAATATGGAACTTCTTCTATTCATAGTTTGCTTCCTACTTAATTTCTGTTTCCAGATTGCTCTTAAAACAGCAAGGGAAAAGAAACACCAAGATGGAAGAGCCTCTGGTCAAATAATTGTGAATCTCACTTGTATACTTGATTAGAATCTGAACCTTGCATGTGATTGGTTATTTGTAAAAACATCAAACCAGTTTGAGAAATAAACATCAGGGTTCATACGGGTCCTGGAAAGTCGTGGAATTTTACCTATTTCACCTACGTTTTTTACCTATTTCAATTTACCAGTCATAACAATAATATGAATTGTTGTTATATAACAGATTTTTGCAAGTGAATTTTGTTTTATTATATCTGTTATCATTAAAATATTAACAAATTTCAGAAATTCCGTACGAACCCTGAAACATGCACAATAACTAATTATTGCTTCAACTTAGTAAATAGCAAATTATTGCTTCAAGGTCTCAGGAGAAAGGTAGGGAGAGACAGACTTTTTGACATAGTTTTACAAATAATTAAGGCGTAAAAAAATACCTGTGGTTCTGGTTCCTGACTGACCCTATTTTTTTCTGCCGACGTGCAACCCTGTTTTCTCCAGGTGGTTGTGGGCTGCTCATACAGCATGCCAAAATGGCGTCTGTTGTCACACTAATTATTGAACCAAATTGCCTAAATTCGTCCATAGGAAATACGCATCTCTAGTTAATATTGATGTCGGGACTCTACTGCAAATCGCCCAGCAAAAAACTGCCAAAACCATGAAAAAAATATTCAAAAAAATATTTATTTCCGACCTACCGACCCTAATTTTTTCACGATATGAAACCGGAACCACAGGTTGTTTTTTTATGCCTAATCACATGTGAGGCTCTGGTTCTGAACCTATCAAGTATGGAAGTGAAATTTGCAATTGATTTGTGCATTTCTTTTGTCTTGCCATTCTTTAAGAGTTTTTGGAACCCGGAGGATAAAAACTATCACAAAATTTGAAAATTATTGGCATTGTTTTTCTTCATATGATACTGCGGATTCAGGTTGAGTGTTTAATGACATCACGATCATGTGAACATTGCAAGAGAAAAACACAGGTGTTGTCAAGTGGCAAATTACTTGTTGCTATGAGAGAATGTCTGTAAACAAATGGCTTTTAAAATGTGGTGTGCAAACGAATATGGTTGATTATTTATGTCCGGAAAAGGCCGAAGACTACTAAAGGTTGTTAACAATAGGAAATATTCTTAGCAATGGATGTGATCCCAAAACAGGAGTTTTTCCTGGAAAATTCGTAGAAGTAGATGTCCCCTTGGGATATCGTCAGCCATTGTATCGAAAATGTGGAAACGTTTATACTGCCAAGATAAAATAGTTTCCCCTAAGCCAAACTACGGATAACAATGGTCTTCTTGCCTGTGTTTAATAATCTCATTATTTGAGATTTAAAATGCTTCGATGATAAGTCAATTTCAGGCCGATCTGATTCTACGATATTCAAATGCATTGACCTTTGCTTGGTGCAGTTCTTTGCACAAAACATGCGAGAAAAAATCATCATGCGCTAAAGATAGCAAGTCTTCGTTCTGTATAAATATAGGGGTTATTCGATTGTTACAATAATGATTGTATTATAATTGAATTTCAGAAAGATCATCCATATTTTTGCATTACAGTGTAAATTCTAAACATATATATTCAATTCAAAATGTCACCACTCCTTCATAGCAACAAGTAATTTGCTACTTGACAACACCCGCATTTTTCTGTTTCAACGCTCACATGATCGTGACGTCATTAAACACTCAACCTGAATCCGCAGTACTGCATGCATGCCTGTTGACAAGCATCTGCTGTAAGACCGTACTATAGTCCAATGAACCAGACTGAAAAATGTCATATACGTCATATACATAGCTCCAACAGTATATTCTATTTTAAAATCTAAACAAGTACCTGTAAGGGACTGTTGAAATCTAGTTTTAGTCATTGTTTGGGTCAGGAGGGTGACATGGTTATATACAGTTAAAGCTTGTTTATGTCGGCAACAATATCTCATTGATGTTCAGTTGAAGTTTCTTTGACAAAACAAAGTAGGTGTTGGAAATCACAGGCTTGAAAAAGGACATTCCACAAAGCTGGAACATTCTAGGACTGCAGAAGTGCTTGCAGGTCAGGGACATAAAATCCCCCAATAATTATGACAAGAATGCTGTTGTAGTAAAGAGTGTATAACAAGTTTTACTGCTGTATATTGATTCAATAGCAATGTTGCTAGCAATAGTGGATTCAAAGCTAATTGCATGCAGAAATACAGATATGCATATTCAATACACTTATACACATTTGTAACATTAAATGTTTTGTTCATGTGCTGCTTTTCTGTCAAACAGAGCATCAATACACATGCACGAACAACTTTATTATGAGAAATTTTAAATGCCAGGCTTTGGGGCCTATTGGGAGCTGCAAAAAGTAACTGCAAAAAATGTTATCAAAACCAAATTAGTTGTAGGTGTTATTGTTTCTAAATATTTGATATATACAATGCAGTAAAACGTACTTACTTTTTGGAACTAGTTATACAGTCACATAATTACTTAAAAAAGGAACTAGTTACTTGTAAACGTTTTACATAAAAAAGTGTAACTAGTTACCATTACAAAGTTACTTCATGATTTTTGTAACTAGTTAAAAAGTTACTTTCAATTTTTTTTTAAGTTACATGTGCAGACTTTAGTATACATTGACAGTGAGTTCAATTAGATTACTATAAAGAACAGGATATTCCAACTGCAAGCCGGCCAATGGGAGGGGAATTACTGTACAGTGAATCAGTGTAGGGACCACATTAACATAATAAAAACTGGTAGTATAAACACAATAGCAAGTACCATATTTTAACATAAAGAGGTAACAAAAAAATAATGTAAACGTTGTTCAGAACGTACAGTAAGACGTTATTGTTCCATTTCAAGCCAAAACATAACTAGTTATCTTAAACATTTATTACAGTTACTTAAAAAAGTAAAGATTATTTGTCTTGTAATTTTGTTACTTGTAACAAAGTTACAGTACTTAAGCATTGGATGGTTATTTTTATGTGTCCCCACTTCAGTATGGCAAATATTGTGCAATTGCACAAACACGTATGTACAGTATATATAAAAGCCATTTTGTTCCCTCAGTCCAGTCGTTTTTCACTCAGAATATGCCAGAATTACACATATAGCTACTTACAAAGTTTTGAATACTTTGCAGAGCCGTAACTAGACGAGATAATTGTGGTGTGGATATTCATATATTCATGTTCACATACCGTAAAAACAATCGCTTTCAAAAGAAATCCGTCGGGCAGAACACGAATGTATGAATATACCCCCCCCCCCTCAAATTATCGCGTTTAGGTACGGCCCTGATACCTTGGACAGTTTGCTGGCCATATGGTACCAGCAAAATGCAAGCACGCAGATAGCGAGGGTTAAAAGTTACATCTGAAAACAAAGAAGTACCAGACCGTAATATTGGGGTACCTCCGGTATACGTAAGTGCAGCCATCGGACTATTAGGCAAAATTTCCGCTAGCTGAAGGTCAACCCTGCGCCGCCGGCGGCAATTCTACTTTTGACGGCGGCAAGTGTTTTGGATTAACTGGCTGGCAAACATTTCTGGAGATGTTGTGGAGATGCTATTTTACAAACATACATAGTCATAGTTCCAAGGGCAAGGCTTACTGAATTGTTCGGTTGAAAAACGAATCCTGAAAGTGAATGTTCTTCATTATGACGTTTCAAAAAATACGGGTTGTACAGGTATTTTGATAACGACATTGGCATTGATTCTGTTACAGTGTTGGACAAAAGATTGTTCAAGTAAATACAGCTGAATACATAATTAAATAAATTAAATTAAATTATTAAAATATGGTCTCTTGCACACACGTAAAAATCTGTAGCAATGCTGTTACAACAACTTTGCAACAGGATGTGTTAGCACTGCTTGTTCCCAGCTTGTTGACAACTTGCTACAATGTTGCTGAGCTCAACAAAGTTGTTCCGACAACTTGTTATCGTCCTGCAATTCAACAATTTGTCCACAAGTGACAAGTTGTGAGTGACAATCTTGTAGCAACTTGGTAAAATAACAGCATTGTTAACAAGTGTTGCGAACAAATCTTCTTGACAAGTTGTGAGATTTTTACTTGTGTAGTTGTCGATCATAAACTACGTGCAATGGTTGTGGTTGATAATAAACCTAACTTGAAGTTTACAGTTGTATAAGACATCTTTCCAACTTTTGTTTTGAGTATCGAGCGGGTCGCTTGTCTCTTTTTTTTCAGACGATTGCATCATTTGGCGTGGGAGGGAGCAAGATTCTAATTTAAATTATTTAATTTCCTTTTTTTCTATAAAAGGCGTTTTCCAAACACTGTTCCGGCCAGATCCCAAGTTCAGTTCCGCTGCTGTAGTAATAAATAGCATGGCCAGAATCGTATCTCTTTCTCATTGCCTGATTTGGAAGATTGAATGTTATTAAAGCTTTTTACTGATGAGCAAAAAATGTTTAACCCAGAAATAATATTTCAATGTTTCTTAAAACATCGTCATCGATTACGTGTAACATACAATTCAATCGCCAACTCTTTAAAGATTTCTCTTTCACGAGAGAAAATAATAAAGGACAATATATGTCCAGCGAGGGGGAAGTGTAGGAAGTATTCTCACTGAAACACATTTCGCCTTCTTGCGGAATGGATTTCATTCAAAACTTCGAAGTATTCGAAGTTCGAAACGTCCGAGCCGCCGACATGCATTATAATTGCATAACGGGAGAAGCGGTGTCGGTATTGTATATTATTCCAGCATTGACGCAGTTAAGATTTATATTCTCAGTTAAGCAGTCTTCTTGCACAGTATCAAGAAACGTTAATTAAAGGCCATGTTACACGGTGCAATTTTTCTTGCAACTTGCAATGCAATTCTACTCTTGAGAGATGTTAATTAGTGAAATCAGTGAAGAATTTTCGATATGTTGAGAAAACATCAGCGGAGTGTAATGAAGACTCGTATTTGGCAATTTTACATCTCTCAAGAGTAGAATTGCATGGCAAGTTGCAAGAAAAATTACACAGTGTAACATGGCCTTAAGGGCCTTCGTTGCTTTGCAATCCATATTGCTATATGTCATATATGAAACCCCAAGATGTCAAATCCTCAATAATTGTTTGTTTGAAAATCATCTTTGTAGTGGATGAAGCGATGGTTCGTTCTTTGGGAAAATAAAACTCTTGAGTACTACAGAGAACGAGGAGATCCGAAACCGAAGAAGGCGATCGACTTGAGTCGATGTGAATTTCTTGACACGAATTTATCCGACAAGAGATTTAAGAACATCTTTAGTTTAAGAGTAACTGGTGACAGAGATCATGGCAGGACATATTTCCTTGCAGCTGACTCTGCTTATGAAATGAATAACTGGGTTGATAAGATTTGCAAGTTATGCGAGTTTGCTGTAACAGAAAATAATAATACAGGTACTGTATATTATACTTATACAACATGGAATAATTATTATATTCGATAAACATTCCATGTAGCATTTAACACATGAAATATTACTTCCAGTTATTTTACAGAATATATAGGTGGGTTACACTAAGCACTATCGTGCAGTAAATGGTCGCCAATAGTCGCACTTTTCAACTAATGAGATATCCAACTTAATTATTTTCACTAAAGCCATTACTTAAGACCCGTTATTATTTTCATTAATTATTTTCAAATGGGACAACAATGGGCGCTTTCTATTAACGGCCAAATTGTTGAATGAAACACAAACGATTTGGGCTTCGGACCTATCTGACCAGAAATTTTAGGTAACATTAGAATGAGGTCCATTTTTGCTAGATATTTGAGAAACATAGTCCAGACCTTTCCATTGACACAGAGAAAAAAATTCGGGTCTGACCGGTCAGGCCATTAAATGGAAAGCGCCCAATGTTGACCCAAAAACATGCAACAATGATGATTTATTTTCAAATGCTTTGGATAAAATTATATAGGATTTACCTAAACTGGAAAAGATGCTTCAAAAATTTGTGGAAGAAACAAGTTGATGGATGTTTTGATAAGCCTTTATATGTAGTATAGGATATTGTCGAGTGAAATTTATATACATTTATTAAACCTAACCAAGCTTCGAAAAATGCAATTTTTTATGAATTGAATAAAAGTGCAACTTCAGGTCCCTGGCAAGAATAGAATCTGCGTGATTCCGGTGCAGTGCTCTAAGATTTTGGTGCCGCAGATTTGATTCCTGCCAGGAACCTAAAGTTGCATTTTTCGCAACTGTTTCTGGTTAGGTCCAATAAATGTATATAAATTTCACTCGATAATTTCCAAAATTTGAGAAAAATTGACCAAAGGAAAAAAGTTATTGCATTACAAACCTTGTGCGGCCAAATGACATTTTTGCTGACGTGATAAATTTTCAACTCGACAAAATCACGTCATTTCGTTATCAGTTTAAGCAACTGCAGGGAGCCACCTTCACCACTTAATTTTCGTCGAAATTTGAAGTAGCAAAATGATGAGCATTGACGAGAGTGCAGAAGTCAACAGGAATTTTCTGTTAAGCGCGAGCGAAAGTTACAAAGTTTCTCATCCTCTTATCACACCCTTTGTTTCTGCTTTTTCAGATACAATTCGTCACCAGGCTCCTTTAGATAAAGATGAAATCCAGGTCCGGTCTAAAGAAAGAGACAGTGGTATAATCGTACCTGACAGTGACACAGCTGCTGACCTAGTGTCTGTTAAAATTGTGAATACTCAACGTGTATCAGCTTATGATGACGTGCCACCACCACGACCATCAAAAACTTCTGAAGACATTAATGAACAATATGATGTCCCTCCTCAATCTTCGCAGTCGCCACGAAAATCTCCTGTACGACAACGTAATTCATGTCCACTCGATATGTCGTCATCTTCAGAAAGTAGTTTTATTAGTATGAACAGATCTTCAGGGGGGAGTGATATTTACCAGAACTATGATGTCGTTCCCACTCAGCCAACCTATGACTTCCCTCCAACTCAGCCAACCTACGATGTCCCTCCCACTCAGTTAACCTATGATATCCTCCCCCCTCAGCCCACTTATGATATTCTTCCCCCTCAGCCGACATATGATGTCCCCCCAACTCAGCCCACCTATGATGTCCCTCCTACTCAGCTAAACCATGAAGAACGGAACCGTCACTCCGGTGGGTCAAGTAGCGAGGATGGAAATGATATTTATGATGTCCCGCCAAGCTCACATCAAGCATATGATATTGTACCAGCTCCTGTAGCCACCACAGGCACAATGCCAGGAATAGCCAGGGTATCATATAATAACACCCCACAACAATATGGAAATTATAACACGTTATCACCACGTATACGGCCCGGGCTACAACCTACAAACTATAACATATTACCACCAGGTAACGGAGGAATGCAAAGTATCTATGATCACGTGCCGTCAAGAAATCATCATTCTGTTACTTATGACACACCTCCTTCTCGTCCTGAAACTTCATGTAACTATGACTATGTCCCACCACCTAAGTCGGCATTACATGGGGACAATACTGATGGTCGAGAAGAGCCTCCTCCTCCTGTACCCAGAGAGGCGAAACCAGGACAGATTAAAACGTATGTAAACATACCACAAATTCCAATTCAAGACGGTGAATACAACAAGCCGTTACCAAGTACACCTCAGCGAGATTCTGGAACTGTTCTTGATGATGAAGAAGCAGTTTATGATGTTCCACCTGCTCAACAGGGTAAGCCAGCATGTCGCAGCCGTTTTCATTCTTCATTATAATCTTTATTGCAAATAGTTCATCAGGGGAACTCTCTCACAACAGTGATTTTCAGACAAGTTTACATATACTGTATTCACCAGTAATAAGGTCCTGATATAAACATGTAGATTACGGACTCCTAATACGTATATAGATCCAGATAAACGTTCAGCAAGAAAATTAAGCTAAAAGCTTGAACACTATTTGAATTTCTAACGTATTGACTAAGGTCGTTTCATTCCTTAACGGCCAAATACTCAAGTCCTTGCTTGCCCGAGTTTTTGTTTACTTTAGGAAGTCTAAGATTATCTTTGCTCCTACTGTAGTATTGTACGTATGAATAACAGCATTTTTCAAAAAACGCCAAGCTATGTGATGTTAGATTATAACGATCGTAGATTAACAGTTAATTATTTCTCCTCATCAATATAAATTCTACTTTCTGAATTTTTCGTGCAAAAATACATATAAACCAAAATTTGGATATTTTAAATTTAAAATAAAAAGCAATTCACTCTAACAATTCAGAAATATATTGCAGTCATCAAAGAAATCGCCATATCAGCGGAATGACGAAATAAACAAAAATTTCCGAACACTATTTTTTAGAACAACTATTTTACTGTATAAAAATGATATTTTCATAAATATAACTTAAAACCAGCAGGAGCACAACTCAAAAGCGTAACGATACCGCGATTTAAGATTTTCCTGAATAATTCTTACATTATTTTATTGTTTGTTAATTTTACAACTTTACCATATTTTGCATGCACTGGAGAACATTTGGTGAAAATTTGATGAAAATCGGACTGATATTGAGCGCGCATGAAGACGACAGCAAAATATATATAATATGTTGTTTTAACTTAGGGCATTCTGTATAAAGACGACAGCAAAATATATATAATATGTTGTTTTAACCTAGGGCATCCTCAAATTCCAATTGTGAACAGAAGAAACAAGCCGTGCATGGCAGTTGCACCTAGAGTAGACCGCACTTCTAAACCTAGCGGTACAGGACGTGATTATGTAAATCTAGGAGGGCCAATTGCAATGAGAAGTGCAACAGTTAAAGAAAGTTCAAGGCAGCCAGTACGCAGGGGAGGAAATGTTCAGCGGAGTAAAAGTGCGGTGGCAGATTTTGAAAGTGATGCCGGGTATCTTTACATGGAAAGTCCTAAAAGAACTGAATCTTCTACCAGATACAGCAAGAAAGACAGAAAACCTTCAATTCCCGAGGAAGATGCTGCTTATGAATTCATGTCATTACAAAGAAATGAACAAAATACAGTCTATCAGAATTATAACACTCCGACACAAATGTCTTCAAAGGAAGAGTCGTCCCCTGAAAGAACTGTGCCTGCAGTAAGTTCTTGATTGGCTTCATTTATTTATTTTATTGTTTAACCGTGCCATATTGTTAGTCTTTAGTATAGTACATAATAACTACAGTGAAACACGCAATTTGATTGGTCGATACCCGTGCAGAATCAGACAATCGTGCACGGAAAATGTGTGCCTTTGCGCGGCCTTTTTGAAATGTCGGACAATGAAAACATTTTAACGTGTGAAGTTAACTTAACAGTATACTATTAAGGTGGCTCGATTTAGTTATCACAAAAACCCTGCTCAAGAGTCGCGAAATCAAAGCCGGGTGACCATTTTTACGCGCAGGTTGCGGAAACTGATTAACAAAATGAAAGAACTTCCAAAATGACCTGACCTGCATGAGCAGTTGCTCGCGCCATATCACACCATTGCGCGTTCTATAGCGTTTTAATTATAGCGTTTTATTAAAACGCTGTAGAACACGCGCAATGGCGTGATGCGGTTTTATGTCAATTCTGACGTCATTAGAATTTTCCATTTTAGAAAAACAATGCGTTATATCTCTTTATTTTATCTGGTGACCTATGTTCAAATTTTGCATGCTGTATTGCACCGCTAAAAACTTTCATTATACAAAAAAATAAATAATTCTGTAATGCCAAAAAAATTTTACCGAACAATATGTCATTTTCGCATTTTCAAGAAAAATGGCATTACAGAATTTTTTATATTTTGCTAATTGTTAGCTTTTCGTCCAAGTAAAATAATGCACGAAAAAAAATTGGGGATCACCATGCTTTTTTTCCAACTATACGAGACGATAGACCATTTTGGAGTGAATTTCGTACACGTATGTCGTCATAGCAACGAACTATCTGTTATTAAAATTTGAAAGTAGAGTTATCAAAATATATAAAAAACCCAATATCTGCTGACTAAATCCTAAAAATGCGTAGTTTGAACATGTCAAAGTGTTAAACATCTGAATTTTTGAAAACTGTATCGAGCCACCTTAAACGAGAGACAAGTTAACAAAAACGTTAATAAAGTTATAAAAACGTTAACCGTTTATAAATAACAATGAACGGTTGACGTTTTAATAAACTTAACCGTTGCTTCGCTGTTAGTTACTTTACAAAACAATTACCAAATGGTTTTCCATGCGGAATAGCGTCATCCATGCACTTGGCATGTTGTTCGACTTTCGGAAAGTCTCGCAACATCCCGCGTGCATGGATGACGCTATCCAGCACGGAAAACCATTTGGTATTCTTTTATTGTAAATTATTGTACGTATACATAGCACTGAACTCAAAACAAACTGGAACGTTACAACGTTACAGTCGATTAATACCTTATCCCAGTCCAGTGTACACGAGGCGAGGAACGGTGAGGGAGGAGGGAGGTCGTGGTTTAATCAGTGCGAGCTCCATATATGTCTGGAGTGAGAACTCAAGTCCGAAACACGAAGCTAAAGATGGAGCTACTGGCCGTCAGTTTCAGTCCCTTTCTATTGTTTTTGCTGCGCAGCCTGCAAGGATTGTGGCGAAATTTCGTATTTTGACGTTGATTGAAAGAATAACACTGGTTTCATGAAATGATAACTTGATTAGCGAAACAGTCACTGGGAAAATGATGTTTAAAATCTTCAGAGCTATTGGACGTTAATGGCCGCCATCTTCACTTTTCTTATTGGCCGAATGACCGAAGTTCTTGCTCCAGATATATATAGAGCTTACTGGATTGAAAACTTAGAAACTGCTGATAATTGACTCTATATGGACTTCTCTGCACTTTAAAATGTTATCCACAACCTCCTGAAAAAAACTACTTTACCTTAAGATATCACAAGCATACGTTTGTCGAGGAAAATGCCCTCAAATGCTGGACACTTTGCCAGAACGTTTTTGTTTGACTTGATTGCAATGCTTCAAATAGTTCTAGCTGACCTGTTTTTGCAAGGGCAATGGCAGGTTACTGACTTAACGAAATTTTAGAACGGGAGGTAGAACAAAATATATTTGCTGTTTGTGTTGTTACTCTGAGTGATGCATCCACACCGGGCAAGCTTGCCTGACCACAATGGGAATCGAACCCGCGACCTTTGGGATCACAAACATCATAATTATTCACCTGAGTACATAACACCAACACACACGAAAAGTAATATATTTGCCAGCTAAACAAAATCTATGCCGGCAGCAGTATGGCTGAATAATATGTCTGGTAAGCATTGAAACTGACAAGTAAATATTGGAGAAATTCAAACATACATGTACAGACCTCCAATAGACCCATTGCACTGACGTCACAAATCCTTAGAGTGTCCTCCAGATGCTCCCTAACAATATCTATTCGGGTACAACAACCACACACAGCGCAAGAATTAACCATTTTAATACAAAATTATTTTAAAGTTTTACAAAATTTGCTTTGTTTACAAAAGTTATATTATGCATAGATTGCTAATTTGTCCTCCAGATGCATCGTCACTGACGCTGTGACGTCATCTGCAATGGGTCTATAGTAGATATACTCGAACGGTCTGTGCCCACTGATCTGAAATAAGGACTGGATGAAGCATCTTATTGAATTCAGTAACTCGATTTTGAAGGCAGCATATTTTAATGAGATGAGATTTATAAATCAGTTAAATTCATGACCAGTCTAATTGTTTGCTGTTTAAGTTCAGTTAGACTACAAAGCAAATATCTTCGCCTATGTGACTTGTGAAATATAGCTTCCAAAACCTCTTCGAGATTATGAGCCCTATTAGTTATTCACCGGCAAATTAAGGGGGGAAAAGAGGCTACTGATGATAAATTCTTATCTAGGCAATATTTGTCCTTTCTCACTAGTGACTAGAAACATAAAGGAAGAGTTAAACATGTCCACAACACCAGACTAGATTAATGGTGGGGCCATCCAATATGGCCGCCATTAGCTTCACTTATGCACAGCAGATGCGCTATCCAGCCTTATTCAGATCAGTGTCTGTACCAGCGCAGGTCGTGACCATAGTGACAGAAAACACCAGAAAACTTTAGATGGGTATGGATCAACTACCTGAAGAATACAATTAAGTTGAAGTTGTATTGTTCAGGTTGAAGTTGTATTGTTCAAGTTGAAGTTGTATTGTTCAAGTTGAAGTTGTATTGTTCAAGTTGAAGTTGTATTGTTCAAGTTGAAGTTGTATTGTTTACTGTCGTTCCAATTGAAGTGTTGCTCAAATATTGATTCAATACATTACCTCGGGCTGACCAATTCATTTGATCAAGTTCCTCGAAATATTCATACACTTCCTGTGAAAGAGCCAATTCCAAGTATTTGATCTTTTCTGGTCACTTCCTTTCTATTTATGATTGGTTAGTTGCACAAACAACAAAGGTGATTGGTGCATTTAAACTATTCAACAGGAAGTTTACAATTATACTAGGAAGTGTATGAATATCTCGAGGAACTTGATGAAATGAATTGGTCAGCCAGAGGTAATGTATTGAATCAATATTTTAGCAACACTTCAATTGGAACGACAGTAAGTTGAAGTTGTATTGTTCAAGTTGAAGTTGTATTGTTTAAGTTGAAGTTGTATTCAAGTTGAAGTTGTATTGTTCAAGTTGAAGTTGTATTGTTTAAGTTGAAGTTGTATTCAAGTTGAAGTTGTATTGTTCAAGTTGAAGTTGTATTGTTCAAGTTGAAGTTGTATTGTTCAAGTTGAAGTTGTATTGTTCAGGTTGAAGTTGTATTGTTCAAGTTGAAGTTGTATTGTTCAAGTTGAAGTTGTATTGTTCAAGTTGAAGTTGTATTGTTCAAGTTGAAGTTGTATTGTTCAAGTTGAAGTTGTATTGTTCAAGTTGAAGTTGTATTGTTTACTGTCGTTCCAATTGAAGTGTTGCTCAAATATTGATTCAATACATTACCTCGGGCTGACCAATTCATTTGATCAAGTTCCTCGAAATATTCATACACTTCCTGTGAAAGAGCCAATTCCAAGTATTTGATCTTTTCTGGTCACTTCCTTTCTATTTAT